TCGCTCTCTGTCACTCTCTCTCTCTCTCTCTCTCTGTCTGTCTTTCTCTCCCCGTTCCTCACAGGCTGTGTATGTTTTATGTATGCATGCATGCATGCATGCATGCATGCATGCATGCATGCATGTATGTACACGTATCTTTCTATATATATATATATATATATCTGCATGTGTTTATATATATATATATATAATATTTACATATGCATTTTGTATCTATATATGTAAATATATGCCCCCCTCCCCTGAAACCTACCTCGAAGCCTCCTCTTGTACTCTCTAAACTACGTTACGACTCCACTCCGAACAACGGGACCGTTCAGATTTAGGATAAACGCGCGAAGTATTGCCCAGCATGCCTTGTCTATGTCGACGCAAGCCCGCTCAAGCCAAAATAAAAACACAAAATAATGCCGGATATTTCCTCTCTATGACGGCACAGCACTGTTCAAACCAAGATACATCATGCCAAGCATTGCATAATGTTCCCTGTTTATACGCACGGTGTTGAAACCAAGATAACCATGCTGAGTGACGGCTAAGTGTTGCCTAATGTCCTCTGTATACTGCGGGGCTTCGCACGCAGCATTTCCTGACAAAGTTACGGCTTCTTCGACCGCGCTACCCGGGTCCGGAGACAGGTCCAAACTCGTTTTCGGGGCCCCTTGTATAGCCTGTTTGCCTGAGGGATGTCTGTAACTTAAGGTACCCGCCTTCGCTCAGATTAAGTTACATGCCCTGACAGATGTCTGCAACCTAAGGTGACCGCCCTCGGTCAAATGCAAAGAGAGCCACCCAGGTCCAGGCCCCAGACGAGCGGCAATGCAGTTGTTGGCCCGGAACTCGCGAAATTCATTAATGTCGCCACGAAGCTTCGCATAGGCATGCATGGCAGCAGCGTCAGATAATGCTTGCTGCAGGACGATCTGGAAACTCCTTTCCCAGCTTCGGAGTCCCGTACCATGTGTAAGGACCAGGATACGAGCATTCCGCGCGTGATGATCTCTGCGACAATCTCTGAACATGTCACGATCGCACGTGGTAGTCGAGGTCCTGTTTCCAAAGCCCACATGGTAGCTGGGCACTATGGATATTAGATTGTCCAATACTTTTCGTTACAAGACCTGTAAACGATAGCTACCAGTAGGATGAATCTTTAGATCAACCACCAAATGTAGGGAGTAGGTGCACGCAAGGCAAATGACCCAGGCAGGGTCCTATCCTAAGGAACATCAAATGTCTGGATGAAAGTCTCTCGGAACTACACTCGTCGCTCCGTAGAAGGTGTGGAATTCAAGGCACCATGAGACGAGATCCCCACTTCGGAGAACCGAGTAGAGAGAGTACCTGTGCAGTTTTCCAAGCAAGTCAGGAGGCTGTCTTGCTGTGCCGTCCGGGTGGCTCCAGGTGCAGCTGGGCAACGCCGCGGCAAACCAAGGCATGCTTTCCAGTGACCAGAGATCCCCTCGTATAGGTGCTCCAACCTATGAAGCTGAAGCATGCTCATCAGGTCCACGAATTGTACATAGGATCCGACGTGCAAAGACAGCCTCCAGTGCGCCAAGTGCCGGGGCATTGGCTCGAGATCTGCAATGGCCGGTAGATGGCTTTGCCGCAGGATGTCCTTCATTGGGCGGCTCACACCTCGAAATCTCCTGAGAGCCTGCCCCCCTGCGGCTAGGTGGGCTGCCATGGCCACAACGTAGCAAGCACAGAATTATACTAAAACCGGCCTGGATCAGAGATCAGAGATCAAGGATGCCACGGCAAAGCTTTCCGGAGAATCCCTGATCCATGATTCTGATCCCACGCCAGTTTCAATACAAATACTGAATTATACCGAATTATACTTGCCTGGATCAGAGATGAGAGATGCCAAGGAAAAGTTGTCCACGGCATCTCTGATCTCTGATCCAAGCAGGGTTTCAGTATACAATATATATACTGAGTTATACTGAATTATGCTCCGGATCAGAGATCAGAGATGCCACGGAAAACTTGTCCACGACCTCTATGATCTCTAATCCAGGCAGGGTTTCAGGATAAATACTGAGCTATACAGTCCCTTGATGCTTATTTAGCAATGTTCGTATACACTAACCCAGGTGTGTGAAGGGATTTGTTTAGACATTTGGTAGCATAGATGTATACAGACAGGCTTGGAGATAAGTTTTAAAGGGTGGAGGGGGGGCGTACCATATGCACATATATATATATATATATGTATATGGTGCACATGTGCGCGTGTACATATATATATATATATGTATGTATGTATGTATGTATGTATGTATGTATGTATGTACGTATGTATGTATGTATGTATGTATGTATGTATGTATAGACATATAGACGTGTCAGTTCACGGCTCCGGAAGCCGAAGCGTCTGAGGCATCCAAGGAGCGGTGGCTCCTCTTCGAGCTTCAAGAGCCCCTGGCTGATGCTGGCTCGCACAAAGTATCAAAAGCTCTCAGGTTTTCATTTCGGGGCATCGATAACTCGACCATGGATTTAGGGTAAGTCACAGTACTGTTATGTAGGCACTTCGTATGTAGTCTGGCAGCGATTTGAGGCAATTGGGTCTAGAGTTTAGCGCGCTTCGGGTGTCTGCTCTGGACCTTTACCAAATAATTCAAGGGGTTTGGGGTCGCTCCGGGAACCAGGTTTTGGCGTACTACTTACGCTTCTTGAGCTGGTCTGGGTTCCGGTCACGAACAAAGCACTCTTCTTGGGTTTCGCGGGTCTAGGTGGCAGGCTCTCAGACTGTGCATGCAGCACTACGGATTACCCTGACAACCCACACCGTAGCTCCACTGTCACAAACCGATCACGAAGCCAAAACCCCAAAGACGTGTAAGCCGTCAATCCAAGCACCCAGCGCCCACCAACTCAAAGCCCGAACCCCTTTGGGGGGAACCGGAGTTCCAAGAGCCGCAGACTCTTGAAGAGCCAGAAAACCATCCGAATCTCCGAGGGTTCGTCCAAATTTCATCTCGGGGTTTGGTGTTTATTGTATGACTTGACAGACAAACCTCCCTTCATCGATGAGGCCCTAGTTAGCGGTTTCTGCCTGAATCCTGATGCAACCCGCCTAAACCTCACAAGACCCAAGTAAGGCCCCTCCTGCCAGCCTCTCCCGCCGAAGTCTCCTCGTGGGGAACGAAGCACATTTGCAGACGGGAGCAGGCGACCTGTCCAGGGACTTGACAAGGAACGTTCGAGGTTGTGTTGCGGCTTCACACAAATCAGTTCTAGATGCTTCAGCAGCTTTCTGATGGAATTCGGTCGGAAATTGATGTAGAGTCTGTTGGATTTGGGATCTGGATGGGTCTAAGGCTAGGATATGAGGCTGCTCTGTTAAAGCGTTTCGAGGCTGGGCTTCGGCGGGAGTTGAGCGGGTTCAGGGTTCAGGGTTTATTGGGCTCTTGAGCGATGGATAAGCCATGGACGACGGAAGGAACAAAGGCAGCAAAGGGTACCCAACGCTTTTACGGTTGTGGCAGCACTTCGACCTGCCGGAACATCCCCCCACCACAATGCCTTGGCGAACACCTTGGCGCATGCTTTGTCCTCGAAGACTTTCAGCACCCTTGCAGAGAGCCCTTCCCTAACCCCCCAGGTACCTACTATATAGGGTACTAGAGCCTACTATAAAGGGCCCTATATAGTAGGTACCTGCGGGGTTAGGGCTTGTTAAGAAAAAACACCCTTTTCTCGCCTCCCGGGTCGACTCCCAGGCATTGTGGATGACACGGCGATGCAGGGCAATCTCTGCCAGGAGCCTCCTGACACCCAAAGAGACTCCAAAAACGTCCCTCGTGTCTGTTTGGGGTTTGGGCTCAGGGTTCTTATATCACCCGCAACCCTATGCCTTACAGTAATATGGCTTCTGCATAAAACAAGATGAACCACGGAATTTTGGAGCCTCCTCGTTTTCGTGTTTATGCTTTAGATCGAGGGTTTTGGGCATGGGCACTGCTACCACCCGAATGGGTTCAAGCAACAAGCCCTGAAGCCCTGACGTATAAAAAAAAAGGCACAAGCCTAAATCCTTGAACTCGCAAAAGGCCTGAAAGAACCTCAAGCCTTAAGCGCCCTAGGAACATAGGCCCCCGTTGGCGCACCCTCCAAGCGTTAAGATCTGCTCGATGGCGGCCCCAGCAGCTGCCAAGGCCTCCGGGGACGCCTGGCTGCGGACTCTGAAAGCGAGCTGAGGCTTCAGGATAAAAGGGCTTTCCGTTCTTTAAATCTTGGGGCTTCAGAACCTTTTTGTTGGCTTCAGTGCTTTAAGATTCCGCAGGGTTCTGCTTGAAGTATGGGAGCCTCCTATACATCCTGCATTGCCTTAAGGACCCTAAGCTATCGGAATTGTGGTATGTTCCGTATTATGGGTAATGCAGGATTTATAGCATCAACCGTACAGCGCGATTCTGTGGGTCTTGATATTCTCGGACTGAGGGCCTTCGCTGGGTCTCCACCTATCCAGGAGGAAGCAGAAAGGACCTTGGGGTTTGGGGTCTATGATTCTTGGGAGGGGGCTTTTGGCCTTGGGATTGAACAGGGTTTAGGGAATTTGGGCTTTAGGGATCATGGCTGTTGTGTTCTTTAAGATTTCCGGGAATAAGGTGACTAGCACAAAGCTCAGGGTTGGTATGGGGGTTTTCAGGTTCAGGGTTGAGGATTGGGGTTTAAGGATTGCACAAGGTTTAGGGTTTAGCGTGGAAACTTGAAACTGATAGCAACCATGCCGAACCCAAGATGTGCCTTCTGGGTTCCGAAGCACGCACAGTGAGGACCGGAGAACTTGCTAGGCAGGTTTCTAGTTCACCAGAGCAGCTTCTGGCATGTCTTTGACAGTTGCTTTACAATCTCATGAGCCAAACAAAAGAAATGCGCACGAAAGAACGGCCGCCCAACTTGTGAAGTCCCCCCGCAAAAGCCAGCCACGGCCTCAAATCCCTCCGTCTCGTCATCCGGCTCAGCGGCAACTTCCGACGTGTCCGCCATGGCAACTAATGTTACACGGGGCTGGGCCCCTGAAACACATCTACAATTTGCTCGAAAACCTCCAAGCCTACACCCCGAGACCCTGGACCCACGACAAGTCTTGAGAAGGCCTCCAGTCAAAACGGATCTTCAATGAGGGATTCTTCAAATCTTGCAGCCTCTCAGTCTGCTCCAACTAGCTCGTCGTAGCTCCTGCTTTACGATGCCCCCAAGCACCATGTCTCATCGGGTGATTTCCGACTCCGTTCGAAGTGGTTTTGCAGGTTCAAAGGACTGAAGATGGGTGCTGGAGAGTTAAGATGCCTCACTGCCCGAGTTGCTTGCCCTGGAGGGCAGTTAGCTCAATTCCGGGTGAAACTGATGCGGAATTTGCGGCAAGTCGCGGGCAAGTGTTTCCAAAGCACCACGCATGTCCGGAATGAAACGATGCTCTCTCTGAGGCTCACGGATTAACTGCCCCCAGAATTAGCTTGTACTTCTCCGTTGACAAGTGCTTCAAAAATGGGCTAGCATCGTGCACTTGTCGGGTGGTAGCTTGGGCTCAATGTCCCGTCACGGCCGCAACCCAAAAACCCAAATGAGTGCCAATCATGATCTAAGCCTTGAGAGTTGCAAAGACTCTTCCTGCAGGCCTGTGTAACGCACAAATCCCAGGGCCAGCTAGCCCTATGCCCTTCCGAAATATACGCCAAACCCTAACAAACTTGTTCAAACTTGCACATACCCAAACCGGAACCCAACACCCCAGACCCTAAATCCCTAGACGCAAGGCCTAAACCTTAGATCCAGAGCCCCTGAGCCCTAAACCCCTAGATGTAGGCCGCACGCCCACAGCGCCAAACTTGAAAGCCCTCAGCCCCCTTGGCATTGGGCCCTAAACCCCAAACCCAAAACGGCCCGAAACCCCTAACCCAGCACGCAACAAAGACTCTGAAAGGTCGGCTTTCTGCATCCTCCGGGCCCTGTGGGCAGGCTCTAGCAGAAACTTCGTCTCCTTGGGAGAATTCTTGGCTGACCCGGAGCCACTTTGGTCTACTGAAGATGTGGTTGGTTTTTCAATGTGGAAGTTTCGGGTGTAGGATATCGGGTTGAGGGCGCAAGGCCCGGCAAGTTATGACTCACGGGAACATGACAATATTTCTTTGCTTGCATCACTGCGTTCAACCGTTGCAGGTTACGCTTACCCCTAACCGTGCTGGTGATGATGGCCCCATGAAGTAGCAGCAGCAGCAGCAGCGGTGGTGATAGTGGTAGTGGTAGCGGT